GCCATGCCATGTGGTCACCTCTGGGGCAGGCGGGAATCACACTCATGCGGAAGTGGCTTTAGCTTCTTAGTGCTGTGCTTTAGCCCATTGCTCCACCAGGGAGGGCCAGCCAGGTATTTTAAATATCAATCAGTGTCCTCTCAGTATTCCATTTATATTCAAAAGGAAAAATAAAAATCATATACATTTTATCTGTATTTTTACATTTTAGTACTTAAAATAATTTATTTAATTATGACAACACACTACACTCAGTTTGCTAATGTTTTTGATGAAGCAATAGCACATCCATAAATAGAGGTGGATAAATTTATGACATTCATGGTTGATTTTTAAAACACAGAGGTCCTCACTTTGATACACAGGATAGCTAAATTGCCTCCTTCCACCTTGGTCAATCAGGCAGAGACCAATGAAAATTTTCTCAAGTTACACTGTGATAGGAAGTTTGCAAATAATGATTGCTAAAGCACTCTATGATTACTCTGACAAGTGAATTTTATTATAATTTGATGTTTACCAACTAGCTCTTGGAGGTAAAAGTGCTCCTTATCAGGTTACCTATGGCACCCTTTACATCCTTATTCCTCAGGGTGTAAATGAAAGGATTGAGTGTAGGTGTCACCACTCCATAGAAAAGAGCCATGAACTTGGGCTGGTCTCTTGAGATGGAGGACGGTGGTTGCAGGTACATGCTAATAGCTGGACCATAAAATAGTAACACAACAACTAGATGGGAGGAACATGTTCCAAATGCCTTTTTTCTCCCCTCAGATTTCATTTTAAATACAGCATGTCCAATACAAGCATAGGAAGCAAGAACTAAGCACAGTGGAACAGCCAACATGAAAATGCATACCATGGAGAGTGTGAGCTCATTAGCACTTTTCTCGCCACAGGCGGTCTTTATCAAAACTGGAATCTCACACAACAAGTGATCCAACTTATTGATTCCACACAGTGGTAACTGCAATGTGACAGTGGCCTCTGAGACTGCATAGGTGATCCCACTCAGCCACACAATGGACGCTAATGCAGCACAGACATTCCGGTTCATGATGAGGGTATAGTGTAGGGGCTTGCAGATGGCCACGTAGCGGTCAAAAGACATAAGAGCCAACAGCAGGCATTCTGTGCCCCCCATTGTATGGAAGAAATAAAGCTGAACGGCACAGCCCAAGTAGCTGATTGTCTTCTTGGAACCACCCAGGTTAAAGAGCATCTGAGGGACAATGCTTGTGGTATAGCACATGTCCAAAAAGGAGAGATTAGTGAGGAAGAAATACATGGGGCTGTGCAGGTGAGAATCTAAAATGGACACCAGAATGATGGCTATATTTCCCACCATGGCCAAGGGATATGTTACAAGAAGAATAAAGAACACAGGAAGTTCTAGCCATGGGCGATCAACAAACCCTAGTAGAATAAACTCCTCAGGATAACTTTTATTAATTAGTTCCATTATCTTCCAGTTGTTTTACCTGTAGTAGGAAAATGTCAGGAAGGAAGAGTTATCAGAAATAACAAAACATACTTATATATTAGAAAAAACACAGGGTCTCAGTAACTTATGGGGAAAATAACAAAGTCTATTTGACTTGGTTACATAAAATTTATTTGAATTGGCTATACTACCATGGGCCATTCAACTTCAGTTAATATCCTCTTATCTGGAGATTATGTAGCACCCAGGAGCCAGTTGGTCCGTATTCAGAAACATCGCTGCAAAGCTTTAGTGGAATATGAAGAAGAAGAGAACACTTGGAATATAAGAATGATTAAAATAGTCCTGTCAAGATCCTGAATATAAATAGATGAACAATATAATCTTTAAGAGGAGTAAGAAGGTAAGTTTTAAACAAATCCAACTTAGTAATTTGGATATTAAAAATTTTCATGTTCCTGAAATATAAACAGAGAGATGAGTTGTAGCTTGTTAACCTATATTATACATATTTTAGGGGGTATTTTCTTTTCTTGCATAACTACTTCATTCAAATTTGTACTTTATTCAAACTGGGTCATTTGATTATTTAATTCTAATAACTTCTATGCTCTAAGGATTATCTTTTACTGAAGAAAACAAGCACAATAATAATAATAAATAATAAATAATAATAATAATAATAAATTTATTGTGTAAGAGTTTGGAGTTATCAGTAATGCACTTAGTTGATTTGATTAGATACAAATACATCTTTTAACTCCAAAAAACTAGTCTCAAGAGAAAAGTCAATATTCCAATTAGGATCTGAGACTTAGACAAATTATTTTCAGTATATATTACATTGAAAAATATCTTAGCTAGCAGATACATCATAATAATGTTTTCAATTAGCTGAGTAAAAGTGTTTTGAGAAAATTATTAGGCAATGGTGTTTTTGCTTATACCGTTTTTTATTAAACATGTTTAATAAAATCAGCAAACTTCTACAAGATGAGGGATCTTCAGATGGGAATTTAAAATAGTGCATCAAAATAACAAAGTTCTGAGTTATCTTGTCAGTCAATTAGCAAGATAAGAGTAACAAATTATATTATTGAGATTACAAAGCAGTTTTCATACAATCCACTGCACTAAATTTTCAGAGTCATCCTGTCCAGTAATGCAAAACTACTCAGGGCTAAGAAGAGAATGCATACCCTTGATAATAAACAATGTCTTGGTCAGAAACATGTAATATTGTGATAAAATAATTATTATTCCAACTAATTTTGTATGCCAAATACTACAGTAAGCATTTTACAACCGGAAATCATGGAAATTTTTTTAAATGTATATTTATTTACGCATATAAGAACCAGGGGACAGGCCAGAGGTACAGGAGGTAAGAGGATTCACCAGAGACAGAATGGGAGCAGAACGGGAGGACTGACAAAATTTTAATGCCCATGTTTTCAAATATTGTTAATCATCTATTTCTGTGCTAATAAATGGAGAGGTTCTGATGATCAAAAAGCAATTGATACAGAGGGGCTTCCCTCATGGCTCAAGGGGTTAAGTCTCTATTGGCAGCCACTGCAGCATGAGTTCAATCCCTAGCCAGGGAGCTGACCCATACAGACATAGCAGACCTCTCCTGTCTCCCTCCTGCTCCCCTCTGCATTATATCTCAGTATATCTGCCTGTCCTGCTTCCTACTCTGTCTCTGATGAATCCTCTGGTGAATCCTCTCACCCCCAGCACTTCTGGCCTACACCCCAGCTCTTATATGAAAAAATTAATAAAATAAGTATTTTTAAAAAGAAATTTATTCAGGGCCCTCCCTGGTGGCGCAGTGGGCTAAAGCACAGCACTAAGAAGCTTAAGCCACTTCCGCATGAGTTCAATTCCCACCTGCCCTGGAGGAGATCCACATGGCGAGGCAGACCTCTCCTGACCCGCCCGCTGCTCCCCTCAGCAGTGTACTTCATTAATCTGCCTGTTCTGCTCCCCCACTCTGTCTCTGGTGAATCCTTTCACCCTCCGCATCTCTGGCCTGTACCCCAGTTCTGTATGAATAAATAAATAAGTCTTTAAAAAAAATTTATTCAGTTCATTAAATGATATATTGAAACAATACAGCTATAAATTCAGAGTTTCAAGATTTCAAACGAAACATCTATACTCTAGGGTACTGTTTCTGAATGAGTATGTCCTTTACCTCCTCTTTTACCTTGGCATTATTCTATATTTTATTATAACAGCATCCTGTATTTAGGAAAATATCTTGATCTAAGCTCTTTTTTATGTAAAAATACTTTCAGATGAAACAAAACCATGGAATGTATTAGATTGTTAAATAAGTATTCTAAAAGTTATTATCTACCCATATTATTAAATAATTGCACCATAAACACATCTATTATTTATTCATTTCATATGCTTCTACACACCTTTTAGATTTATCTAAAAGGATTATTCTTCAATTTTAAATAGATAGTTTTAGAGTTGATATTCTATTTTTTCCATAATTCATTCTACATAATTCTAATGAATGTTCAGTCAAGTATGTTTTCAGCAGACTCATTAAATTTGTTATTTTTTCCTAGCAAGAGTACTTGGTTTGTAAATGGTGAAAAATCCAGGAATCGCCTTTTCCCCATGTATTTCCAACAGTGTTAATGTAATTCATTTTTGAAATATAATTAAGGTTTATAATTTTATCCTAGATTTTTAATAGTTTCTATGTCATTCTTATATTTCCTTACTTTTGACTCTAGGATTCCATAGTATGGATTTTCTACTTCCAGTGATTTTTTTTTTTATCACAGTGTCTATCTATTCCTAAATCTAATTGTGAACAATTTCGTCATTTTAAAAAGTGCCAGTATGTATTTCTGTTGACTCATCCATTGTATCTCACTCACATGTAAATTCTGCTTTATAACTCTGCTTTGTAACTTTAGAAAAGAAAAAAAAATTAATCTCACAACAAAACAACAAAATAAAAAAAACCACTGAGACAGATTAGTTCATCAAATTTTGATGATGTTATTTTAAGAGTTCACTTGGTTAGGTGAAGACTTCATGCATTAGGTAACATCTGTCAGATATATTATGTGTTGAAATTGAAATATTTTTAACATTGAAAGATTTTTGGTGCTTTTCTGATGGGTGTGGACTGATGATAAGCATTACAGAGGTCTGAATATTCACTGCTAAATACTGGTGTCAAGTACAATGATATAACAGCATGTTACCTCAATAAGGATAAATGAAAGGAGTAAAAAATATAAATGGTAGGCAGAAATAATAATTACAAAGGGAAACTAGTTTCTCTAATTCCCCAAACTAAATATTGCCAAAATAACAGACAAGGCTATGAGAAATGAATTGTTATGTCTGTTAACATGCTCTGCTGTGCACACATCCGACCTTTCCTAAGAATGAATTGCTTTTAAGATAACATGTCTTACCTTATCTGGACAACTGTCATCCAATAAAAAATTTTGCAGTAACACATGAACCTTCCAAATGTTCGGAAAACAGAAAATGTGTAGTACACAGCTGAGTAAGAAATAGCTTTTTAAAATATGTTTCTCACTGATACAAATATGCCAAAGAGAAAAAAGCATGGGGTAAGTAGGTGACAATTAACAACTGCAACAAGGCTTTGTCAACGCACTAGTTATTTTATATTGCTCAGACTCTTGGGCATTGTTTTCAAACACAGCACTTGATGCTTTTCCCAGGTGAATTAAATGAGAAAATTCCTTGGGACGGACTTCTCTATGGAATTATATCCTAACTATAATTAAGTAACTATCAATTTGAGGCTGGTGGCAAGTTTCTTCTACTAATAAGATTTAAATGGATTTAAATCAAGAGAATGTAAATCTTTTGATTTTTCAACACACTGGACATTAATTTTAAATAAGGTACAATTAGAGCAAGGCTAATTTGCATAAACACTTCTGGAAAATTTAAATGTGTGTTCCTTGCTAACTTGTAGAATATTTCATACAAGAATTAGCTATAGCCCTTACATAGGAGCATAAAAGTAAGTAGGAAAGAGAGTAAAAAGGAAAAACAATAAGCCTTCTTTCCATCGAGAGGGAATCTAATGACATTTAAAATAAAACATTCAAATTCTGAGTAAGAATCTCCCTGTCCAGGCCCTCTCTGGTGGTCACAAAGGGCTAAGTGCAGCACTATGATGCTAGCCACAGCTACTGCAGCTCAAGTTCAATCCCTGGCCAGGGAGCTGACCCACATGGTGCAGCAGACATCTGATCTACCCACTGCTCCCCTCAGCAGTGTATTTCCATACCTCTGCCTATTCTGCTCCCCACTCTGTCTCTGGTGAATCCTGTCATCCCCCACACATCTGGTTTACAACCCAGTTTGTGTATGTATAAATAAATAAATAAACCTTTTTTAAAAAGAATCTCCCTGTCTCTCATATACACACACACATAAATCACACATTATTTATCTGTATAGAAAGATAATTTTACAAAACATTCCAATACATCAAACAGCAGGTACAAATTGAAAAAGTTGCCTTTTGGCATTTCTCCTCCATGGTCCATCATCCTTCTTTCCTAAAGATATCAAGTATCATATAGGTATGTATCATTCCATATTATATACTTGATGGATATTTTTTAAACTTTCTTCTCCACCCTAGATCCACAATTTTTTTCAAAATATATGTTTTGCTGCTTTATTTACAATTGGAAAAACATGGAAGCAGCCCAAATGCCCAAAAGTAGATGACTGGATTAGAAAGATGTGGTACATATATACAATGGAATATTACTCAGCAACCAAAAAAGAGAAACACATGTCTTTTGCAGCAACTTGGATGCAGCTGGAAAAGATCATGCTTAGTGAGATAAGCCAGAAAGAGAAAGAAAAATACCAGATGGTTTCACTCATAGCAGGAGTATAATGGACCAGGCGAGAAAATAACAAAAATAATGAACAACCATATACCAAAGACATTCTGTGGGGGTGGAGTGGGGAATGGGATCAAA